ACGGACGTCTATGAGAATTATGCCTATATTGTTGTCAAATGCCCGTTTTTCCTGGGAAAATGTCGTGAAAATATTGTGATCTGCTATTTTAATACAAAGCCCCTGGAAAAATCGCTCTCGTGCCGCGGATTCAAGAGTTCAAAATGGTGTAATCTTCTATGATTTTAAATTTCCGTGGGTTTATGCCATGATAATGAGGTGAATAACGCGCATTTCTTCTTTGTTTTACAAAACTGCCGGAAAAATCGGGTATCACCCGCGATATCGCGGTGATAATTACTTTCTTAAGAGAAGATTCCTGGAGTACTCACGCATTTTCCGCGATACCGAGATGATAAGCGCGTAACATCTTAGGATCAATTTTTTAGAGAGAAATTCGCATAATTCAACCGGATAAATCAAGCGAGCAACTATTCGAGCTCCAGAGTCGATATGTGGTATCACGCGAAATTGAAGGATAATCATAGCTTTTCGCTTACCTGCAATGGCTGATGTTTATGAATCGTATCGATGGAAGCTCGCGTATTTTCCGCGATATGGAGGCAAAACTCGCCAGTTTTTTTTTGCCTTATTAATCAACCACGGGATAATTTACGTATTCGCCGCAATATTGAGGTGAATAACGAGTATAATATTCGATGATTTTACAATACCGCTGCTGGAAATATCGCGTACTTCCCGCGATTTTGCAGAGATTGTCAATTTTATTTTATCCTCTTTTTATAAAAAAAAAAAAAAAATCCTGGAAACTTCGCACATTTTTCACGATACCGAGATGAATAGCGGGTAATTACTTTGGATTTAACGAATTCGCGGAAAACTTCGCGTACCTCTAGCGATATTGAGATTAAACGCATGCAATTTCTAACTGTTTAACCATACGGCGGAGATCAAAGGATCAACTATTTAAACTCTGGAAAAGATATGTTACATTACATGAAATAGAGAGTTTGCAGGTGTCTGAAATTTAATGAATTTCGTTTTTAAGTGGAAACTACTGAGTGAATTGAAGACGAGGATACCCTTGGTTCATGAATTGAACGATTATTAGAGAAGATATGACAAAATGATCTGATCTGATCTGCTAAAATACGTGTGTTTAAATGGGAAATGCCGCCAGATGACGTCACTAGGTGGTGAATTTTTCACTTTCAAATCTATTTTTACACTATCTCCCATTTCAGAAAAAATTATTAAAAATACTATATAATCAGCTCTTTAAGAACTTTCAAATGAAGCAATAAAAAAGTTGCATGCAAATTCTCCATTGATGGAAAATCTTAGTTGATCGCCTAGCTTGAATTACGGACGTTTATGAATATTATATTTGCATCGATTTAAGAAAATTTGAAATTTTAAAAATTGTTAGCGTTCTGGGAAAAAAAAAAAAAAAAAAATTGCTTTACAGAACGTTTTACTAGCGGAAATTAAGCGAGCAATAGAATTATTGAACCTCGTAGTGGGTATGTGGTATCACGCGAAATTGAAGGAAAATCTTACCTTTTCGCTTCTTTCGAATCACTGATGTTTAAGAATGACACGCAATGTGGAATCGATGTGAAAATTGAGTATTTTCCGCAACATTGATGTGAAAATTGTCAATCATCTATCATGGGCACACATACAATGGTTGGAAAATCTGCGCAAATATCGCGATTATGACATGATTATCGCCTGATTTCTCACTCTTCAATCGCCTCAACGAAAGAGGTGCCCAATACTGAGATGCAATTGAGCGTAATATTTGCCAATTTAACGAAATCACGCATCTCTTGCGGTACGGAGAAAGAAATCTTGTAATCACTCTCACTTTTTCACAAACGCGCCGCATGAATGATAATTGCAGGTATGATCGCATCCTCAAATGCGGAAATTAAACGTGCAACTATTCGAACTTCGGAGTTAGGTTTGTGGTATCACGCGAAATGGAAGGAAAATCTTAGCTCTGTGCTTGTGTCCAATTATGTACGAACGTTTATGAATATTACGCGTGCACGTGTCGAGATCAAAATCGTGCTTTCTCCGCGAGACTATGATGAAAATTGTGTGATTCTTTGTATGCATAATACACGGGCGCTTGTATTTTACAATGAATTTTATTTTGCAAATTAAAATTTTTGTAATTTTTCACTTTTCTATAGTATCGTCCAAAAACCGCGCATTTTCCGCGACGCTGATATGCAATTACATGTAATTCTATGCATTCATGTGTTCTATATGTAAAGGTGTTTTCTCGCCATCCACTATTTCTGTGGGGGGGGGGGCGGTCAATGACACTATTTTCAATTCAATGTGGCCCTTTCTTCACACGCCCAAGCTTCAGACGTCGTCAAACGAAGTTTGAGAATCAAGAATTTTCAAAAAAAAAGTTTAACGTACTTTTCTACCAAGCCTTCGATTTTCATTCGTAATTCAATCTCAAGTGTCAGAAAATTTCAATGAAAAACATTCAATGCGTACCTCAAAATAAGTTTTTCTCAGGCTAAATTTTGCAGCATTCGTATGTTTGCTCAGCGTTTTTCCATCGCTCGGCAATACAGAGCTCTTGCGTGTGTGGTGAATGAGTTTTAAGTACGTTTTCTTTCGTAGAATTACGCGAGAAACACGATGGTGCCCTTGGCTTTCTCTGAGACGAACTCTACAGCTAAAAAAAAAAAAGCTTTAAAAGTTGAGACCGTAATGGAGGGGATATTCCACGCTACCCCGAGAGTCCACCTCTATATCAAGTCAAACTCTCCATGGAGAGATATGGAGCAAATACATTAACAGGGTTGTCATTTTGTTCGGGGACTCTAAAACTGATAGCACGGCAACCCCCCCTAACGTATTTGCTCCCTATCTTTCCATGAAGATTGATTTGATATAGAGGTGGACTCTCAGGGTGGCGTGCGATATCACCTTTATGACGGCCTCAACTTTCAGAGCTTTTTCGAGTTCCAGAGTTCGTTTCAAAGAAAACCAGTGGTGCCATTTTCTTTCTTGAAATTTGATACAGGAAGCAGTGCTAAAATCGCAAATTCGTTACCAAAGACATTGAATCACGGAGACCGTACAATCCGTACATCCGGCACGGTTTTGTATAGGCGGAGCGTGACAAGATACTCTGAACTCCATTATGAGCGGGCGGGAAGAGGGAGAGAGCGAGTGTCCCAAGGACTTGAAGGGACTGCAGAGAAGCAATGGAAAATTCATTCGCGCGCTTTGTTTTTCGCGAATAACTCGTTTAGCATCCATTTCCAGACACAATTCCTAGGACAAAAGTTGTGTACCACATAATTGTGAAAAATTTTCGTAGCATATAATTTTACAACCGAGTTGCAAAGTTTCACTTTTCCGAACTAATTAGGAACCGAGAAAAAAGCCTCTCAATCTGGCAAAAATTCATTGGGCCGTTATTGCGCATGTGCAGATGTGCGCAATTGACACATATCGACGGTGTGAGTCGGCAATCACATAACTCGTTTGAGGTGTCTAAAAATCTCCGCCTTTATGTTATTTTTTTAAAGGAGGACAAATTGACATCATTCCTTCAAGTTTTTGCAGAATTTTCTTCGCACAGAGAAGAAAAATCACGGTAGTTTTAAGGAATTGCCGTTGAGTAGTTTTCCGTTTAAAAAATAAAGTATGACAGGAAGTTTGCGACGTCGCAAACCCAGTTATGTGAATGCCGACTTACACCGTCGATATGAACTCATCGATGCGAGCTCGGTTCTAATACCCATCGTTTGGTGCGCCATTCGAATTTGTAATGGCCTGGTTACACGCTCAAATTTCCGTTAAATACCGATCAAAATGATGACCAAGATGGCGGTCGAGAGTTATCTAGATTGATGAGTAAAATTAATTAAAACAGCATGTTGATTGAAATAAACATGAAATAAGCAAGGTTGTGTGGAAATCAGATGAAGGATGAGCCCCATAGTTCCATCATCTACCATCAAATTTTTGCAGGCCGCAGAAATTTGATGGTAGATGGTGCGCACCAGTCACAATTTGATCGGAAATTGATGGAAATTTGAGCGTTTAACCAGCACACAAAAGTTTTCACGCGTTCCGTAACACAGGATGCACGGTAAACATGATTTAATGTTTTTGTTCCTAAGTCAGAGTTAAGAAATTTCGTGAAAGATTATAAAAAGAAATTTCATGAGGAAATTTCAAGAAATTTTATTTAACACTTAGAATTCAGGATTAAACCCTAGAAACTTATGAGTCTCCTTAAGTCCTTTTATACGCACGTGGTAAACTGTGAAAGGGAGCTTTAGAAATGCCCAGAAAGTTGAGTAGGTAAAACAGCAAAAACATAATTTTTATTTTTTTCCCAAATATTGGTTGAACACACAGCCGTATACCGGTTGAATACCAAAATAAATTTTACGGATAAAGTAAGACGTTAGCTTTCATATTTGGAACAAAACAAATTTCTTGACTATCAAGAATCCTAGTACGTCCTAATAGTATATCCTTCTTTTTTGGTACCAAAGGGAGGGAGGGATCTTAAACTATCCTCGAAACAATTTAAATGATTTTTCAGAAATTAACAGTTTTCTTCGCTAACGTATTTCTTTTTTTAAATAGGAGATATTTGATAAATAAGTAGAGTACCTGTATTTCGGAAAATAAACAACTGAAATTTGAGGTTGGGGTCCCCCTCCCCTTGATGAGCCAGAAGAGAAAGAGTGAGAGAAGAGGAGAAGAGAGAACTAAGAAGAGACCGCGCTCCAATTGGTTTAATTGACGAATATTATTCTCCTTAAAAATAAAAACAAATTCTGTTAGAAAAACAAACAATTTTGACATTTTGATGAACTTTGTTCCTAACACATATGCAAGAGATCCACTTATCACCGTTTTTTAGAGTCGAAATTTGGCAACAGCGGAGACTCCGCGCGAAGTTTCAGCCGGGACGGCGCGGAAGCTGGAGGGGGGAGGGAATCCGCTCCCGAAAGATGCGCGTCAGATTCCACGGACTGCTGCGCTCTACCGGCCGCCGCGGGTGAACCATTCAGTTCACTTCACACCCTCTTCGCGGCGCGTCTATCCGCCACTTTCTCTGTTTCTCTCCCCCACTTCTTGCCCGTCAGTTCTCGCCTCTTAATTTTCGTCCTACCCCTTTCAATTTTCCGTCTCTCCACCCCTCTTCGCACCGCCGAAAAAGTTCAAAAAACCCCCGTCCGACGCCTCGAGAAACCGGTGTAATTAACCCCGTGCGCGGACGTGTTTCCCTCAACGTGTCGAATCAAAACAAAGCCTCGCCGGGACGAATCCCGCGCTTTTCCGAAACCAAAACTTGAACTTTCCCTCTTCGTCTCCGCTCGGAATTTTCCCAACCCTAACCTCAAACTTCCTAAACGTGTGTTTAGTGATTCCTTGTGTCAAATCTTGTGGATTCTCAAACCTTCTCTCGCACATCTTTTCGTCTCCTCACCACGTCTCAGTTGACTTTCAAGATTCTGCTGTGTTCGTTCGTCGATCTGTTTACTGTTGTCATCGCTCGGGAATACTCTGGGTGATAAGTTCGAAGCTGTCAGTGCGATGTTTCGCGAGGATCGTATTTGAATCCGGTGTCCGGTCGACGTGCTAGATTTTATATTTTTCTAGGAACGTTTTTCCTTTCGAAGTACAACTGTTTTTCATTTCATGTGTTCGTGCTTTTCTCGCGTGGTTTTTTTTGTGGTTTTATTTTTACGTCCCAGTTTTGCCTGTGTTGTTCTCTTCAAAGTATCTATTTTTCGAAGTGTGATGTAATTGTAAGAGTTTACAATCGATAAGTTTCCATTCTTGATGGGAAGCTCGTTGTCTCCGAATAGTTTCTTGCGTTTTTATTCCTCGTTTTCACCATGTCGTCGTCATCTGAAGTCAGCGGTCGCGGAAGAAGGAAGCAAGCCAAACCTCAACGAAAAAATGGTCAGTTTAAGAAATTTGAATCTCTTTCACTTTTGAATCAGCACTTTTTCACTTTTCGATTAGCAGATATCGGCCAAAGCTCAGTCGGTATCAATCGATCGTACGCGGAAACGTCCGATACTGTTCATTCAAGTGTTTCAGATCTTAATTGCACGGAAACACACGAACCTAAATTGGATTGCATTTTGCAAAAAGGAACCGCAGGAGCATTGCAATGTTGCTAAGATTGTGCAACTTCTTTTGTCTTGGAAGAAAAACCTGATTATCTATCAACATTTTCTATTTTATTCGCTAAAAACTGTTAATTTAAGACAAAAATGTCCATGTATATTTCATATTTTTAGATGATTTCAATAGTTAGATTGCAATGGATCAAGTTGCATGATCTTAGCAACATTGCAATGCTCCTGGTTCCTTTTTGCAAAATGCATGCAAATGCAAATGCAATTAAGATGTTATCAATGTTATGATGAATATTTCTATCAAAAGTTCCGAAAGTGAAATTATAAGTAAATTAGGGACATAGACTAATTTTTAATGTTAGAGGACCGAACAGACCACTGCAGTTCATTCTCAAGAAAGTAGAGGACATCGGTCGATTTTGCACAAAGCCGATTTTATGAAGAGGACGAGCCAGAGCAATGTTACCGTGCAGTGGAAGAACGCCGTATGAGCCTTCAGACGTCGCCAAATTTCCTTTCATGAAATATGAAATTTCACTGAAATCCTTTTTCTCCAATTTTTCGAATAATTTTATTTGCAATCAAATCTAAATTATCCGGTAATACCGCGAGAAAATATTTTTAATCCTCCTGAAAAATATAGATTTTGCTGGAGGAAATCTGGCAACTCTCGAATATTCATCGGCGTTTTTCCTAAGCATGACAGACTTACAGTTACAGAGGGGCGTAATTGCTTCACAATGTTGACAAGCTCCTCCTGACAACTTATTTGTTTTGCTCATAGTATCAAGCGCATGTCTTGTATCGATAACTTGCAAAAATTCTCGTCATATGAATTTTGTGAGAAAATCTGCAACAACTTTTCGAAAACTGCGAATCGTCGTACCTGTCAGGGAAACGTCGGTAATGCTGCCGTGCTAAGGAAGAACGCCGTATGACCCTTTAGGCGATGCCAAATTTCCCTTGATAAATCACGAATTTCCTGGTGAACCTATGAATATTTTCCTTCCGATTTTTCAGATAATTCTGTTCGAAATTTCACCTGAAGTCCCTGAAAATTTCAGGGAAAAATATTCATAACTCTCCTCAAAAATAAACATTTCATTGAAGGAAATTTGGCAACTCTCGAATGTTCATACGGCGTTCTTCCTTAGCACGGCAGAATGTGTCAGTTGCGTTGGTCGCAAAATCGTATTTTGATGCTCGATTCTTGTAGATCACCCAATAGTGTATCTCGTAGATTACGCAGTAAATGGAGGTGTTGGGGGTGCAGGGAGGGCATTTGTTGGTTGCGGTGTCTCAAAATCTTCACTGCTAGGTAATTCATTTTTAAGGGAGGAAACTCTTCAGTGAATTTTTTCATTTTTTATCATGAAGACAATCAAGTAAAAGTTTTATCGGATTCCAACCTGCAACTCCCTTCAATTGTACTGGATGAAACGTTAGCGGAGATTCTCAGACACCGCAACCAAGAAATGCTCTTTCACCCAGCGCCTCAGTCACTGTAAAGAATATAGAATTTCGAAGAAAACTCATCTTGAACAGTTCGATTTTTATTGTTCCTGGGTAACTCAACAGAGAAGGACGTTAAGTTTCAAGCCCTGCATAGACGATCAAATTCCGAACCAATTCCGATCAAAGTAGAAATGCTGATGACTGGTGGTCACCATCTACCATCAAATTTTGACGGGCCGCACTTTTTTTACGTTCAAAGTAAGATTAGAACGGAGTGCCACCATTCATCATTTCCTGCCACAGGAAACATTTCTGCCAAGTTTTCATTTTAAAATGAAGCAAATTAATGAGTTCAAGACTGATGACTCCCGACACTTTGATGCTACTTTGATCGGAATTGGTTCGGGAATTTGTTCGTCTGTCGAGGCCTTTAAATGAGGGACCGTTCAAGTATTACGTGGGGCACTTGGGGGTGGGGGGTCCGAGCTTGTCTTACGGAGTCTTATGAGGGGGGGGGGGAGAGAGTGTCAAGCCGAGTCTTGCGTAAGCTTTCCGCTGTAAAAAGAAGGCTTTTTGTTTAAAAACTGAGGAAAAACTTTATCTGCGTTGTGAAACCCTGCCATTTCAAAGAGTGTTCCCGATATCCGCGAAAGTCCCCAATTTTCTTCTTCAGGTCCCCGCAAAATGATAAAAATCGTCTTAAACACCGGCATTTTCAAATTACCCGGCCAGCCACGACGGCGCACAGTGGATCGAGTCAACTAGAGAGGTCAGACATGAAATTTTTGACTAAAACAGCAAATTTTGGTATTTATTTGGTTTGGTTTTGGTTTTTGGTTTTTGGTATGGTTTACGGACAGTAGGTCTAGAAGAAAAAGGGCTACAAAAAAAAGGGCTACCTTCTTTGGTCTACAGTCAAAATGTCTACATGAAAATGCCTATTAAAATAGTGTCTATAGTAAAATATGTCTGCGGTATTAACATGTCTTCGTTTTGATTGCCTACTCCAAAAACGTCAAAGTACGTATTTATGTCGTCTGATAAGAATCTCATTTGAAAGTGTATCCCCAAAGACAGGACGAGACTGTGGATGCTGCAGAAGCTGATGCGTAAAAATTGTGAGTCACACTTCGCGAATAATTCACCATATAAATATCAACATGTATATTTTATAAATATTTTATTTAATTTTTAATTTTATAAATATATTTTATATATTTTTAGTGGCCAACATAAATATTTTGACATTTTCTAAGTGGGCAAACAAACCGCAGACATTTTAATAGCGTAGACATATTTGACTGTAGACATAATTTAAGTAGGCATTTTAATGTAGACGTTTTGACTGTGGCCAAAAAAAGGTAGCCCTTTTTTTTGTAGCCCTTTTTTCTGTATACGTACTGTCTGCATACCTATTTCATCACATTGTACATTTCAAGGGGTGCTTGAGGTAGAAAATTTCACGAGAAAACCAATGAAACCACTTTGGAACCTCAAAGCTTTGTATAAACGGAGTTATAAGCGTTTAAAGTTTCCAAATTTTTTCTAACCTCTCCTATTGACTCGATCCATTGTGCGGCGCGATATAACCAACCAGGGATAAAATAACTGAAGTGTTGCATGGTTTTTTGTATGCTTTCGCGGCTCAAAACGACCTGTAAAATTAGTCTTTTAAAATACGCCTTTTAACGCTCTAACTAGCTCTCTTTCTCTTACTATTTCGGGAAAAAAGTCCCCGATATTCTTGAGAAAGCACCCCGAAAAGACCCCAATTTTTATTTTTCATAACTGGTGAACACCCTGAAAATTAAATTAGAGTAATTTGCCTCTTTCTTTTGCCGATTTTCATCTAAATACCTTCACAAAAGCCTTAAATTTATTCCAGCTATTTCACCAGGCTGTCTCCGTTTTTTTTCTGAAAAAGGGGGGGGGGAGGGATCAGAGATTTCTAACGGGTGCCTTACAGGGGGAGGGGGTCAAAAGTTGGCAAAAATGCCTTACTTAATACTTGAACGAGAGGAAGTAGGTACAGTAGGCTAGAGTCGTCCATTCTAACGCAGGGCAGCCCGCGATGATGACGTAGTGGCAAGGACTCAAACAGGAATCTAACCAGATGGTAGGGTCAGGGTCAAAGATATACGCCGAACATCAAACTCCTCCAACAGGAAAGTGGCTGACGATGAGTCACTGACGCTGCAGGAGGGTGGGGAACGGTATAAATGTCTGGGCTCAACAACTTTCGAGGATTATGTGCCCCATACTCCAGGTCGGTTAATTTGCGCCAGTCGAACCAAGGGGCATTTCTGTGGGGGACACAGGGTTCTACTTCGCAATAACAAATCGTCACTGATACAAGAAGATGAGTTGGCATTCGGTGTTAAAAACGTTACCGATTTATTCTTCAAAACCATCATCAAAATTTGGGAAACCAATGCCACACTTTCGTTTCCCTGACAAAGGAACGTAACTCGATCCCAATGTTGCAAAATTGACTCTGTAAATTTAATTTTTAACATTGAATGTGCAACGACTGAAGCCGCTGCATACGCACGTATGAAATTGTCGTTCTCTCGAGTAATTATAAGAAAAATCTGAGAAATTTTCTGTCAAAATTCCCAACAATTTTTTTTTTTAAAAAATTCAATTGACAAGCGAAAATTTTGCAACGTTGAAACTTACATATTACGGCCTTTCGTCTGGAAAACGACAACTTACCTGCGGGGAACTCGCTGAAGTAATCAAGCCTACAAGTGGCGCGGCGTGCTATTTGCAATGTATCGATTGATCTACCATTTAAACTTGTGGAAAAAAATCGATAAACAGGGTGTTCGCAACGAACATCTGAGTAATCTATTCCATACCATAGCTTCAAATGAGGAAATATCGGTAGTCGATCATTCATACCTCACCACTGACACCTACGAAGGCGTTAGAGAGAAATTGAGTTTTAGTTCCTTATTCGTCGCCAGAATTGAAGAAAAATAACGCTGATTTTGCCAAAAACCGGAGACACGTAGTTCCAACCGAAGGCTCTTTTGGAAAAAAAAAAAAAAAAAAACTCAACTCGTAGATAAAGAGGGTCGTATTTTGACTCGTAAAATGAGATCATGATTTCTGGCAGTTTATCGTGGGTAAGCGACTAGGCACCATAGTAAATTGAACAACAGATTCCGGCTTAAAATTCTAACTTCCATACTCCCTTTTTTCCCTCTGGTCTCTCAGAATACATTCTGAAAAATTCATTAATTTTAATTGTTTAGTGGTTGACCTGTAGCCGTAACTAGGCCAGCTCCCGCGCCAAAAGGAAAAATGAAAATAAAAGACGACTAAAAATTTCGCGAATAGGTAGAGCGAAATTAAAAT